AATATTTATCACAAAATGGTCGCTGCCAACTTAGAAACTGTATTTTCTAAAATCTTTCCAATTCCATTACTGTTATCTTCCATTCTCATATTCATTTTTAAGGAAGAATTTTAAAAATTAATCTTTTAAGGAAGATATTTCAAAGCTTTCAACTTTTTTTTTATTTCAACTTGTCTTAAAAAAAGTAATTCTGAAGTTTGAGGGAACTTGTTACATATGCCAGCAATGTTTTTCAGCTAACTACATACAAAGTGTGGGAAGAAAGTCTGTTAGAAAGGTCAATATAAATGAATGCTATGAGAGGTATTTGGGGACACATATCTTAGATAAATTTTAATTCTTTTCCTTTTAAATGGACTTTATCATGATAAGCTTTCAAGTAACTTTAGCAAGTTGAAAATATTTGAAGATAAGCTATATTTATAGTGTAGCTTCTAAATGCAAAGATTGCTTATTTATGAGCTGAAAGGTATTATCTAGCCACAAAATGTTCACATTTATTTTCAGTTTTACTAGTGGATGAATGTTGATGGTCTGGTAATTAGTTCCATCTCCATTTCCAAAGCATACAAAATAAATTGACCTTCTGTAAACTAACAGCACATTGTCATCTTCAAAGGTCCTTCATCGGAGGAAGGTGTTTCAGATTCCTTGAAATTAATCTCTCCTCTCTTTGTTGTTTGGGTTGTTTTTTTTTATTTTTGTGGGGAGATGGGTAGAAATCATGAAAATGCTCAAGGTATGATTAAACAGGGTTCTGAGCAATCTGACCTAGCTGAAGATATTTCTGCTCATTTCAAGGGTCATGGAYTAGGTGTTCCTTAAAGGTTCTAACTATTCTATGAATGTATAGTCTTTGTAGCACACAACGCAGCTTTGGAAATCCATGAAGTMAACTTCTAGCCTTCACCATGGAGTCCTTGGTAGAGAACTTTTGAGACTCTGGATRGAGATCAAGTTATCAGCTGGCCAAYTTTAATGACTGTCCAGTTCTGTCCAATTACCCTGTTCTTTTCTAAATGTGCTAAAAATATTTCGTACTATCACTTTTTGGAAAACTTGTCTTCCCTGTGCATACATCCTTTCCTGCTTCAGAGTGTTTGCCTTGTAATCATAGGTAAATGGATTGTTCTCATGTTTGCTAAAGTAAAATGGACGTCATATTTTTAAGAGACCGTGAAGGGACTAAAGGTCTGGCTTTGTGAGACCTTCAATTTCAACCTTCTGTCTGACTTTGGGCAAAATATAATCCGACAATCCAGTACTTCACTTACAAAACCAAGCAGTGATATTTCCTGTCATTTGATTAGCTTGTCTGTTCAGCTCTGCCAGGAAAGTATCAAAATACTGTTAGCACACTGCATAGCCTACTAAAATCCCACATTTGGTTGGAGCTTACTGTCATAAGTACTTATGTTMATAAATCAGACCACCCCCATGCTATTTCTCATGAAATGGGGACATGTATACAAAAGATGACTTGCCAGCTTCCCCCTCAATTTACAAATGGCTGATCATTGCCTTCCCCAATCCAGTTTATACAGCATTTGAAGTCTAGGAAGACAGACAAGCATGATGGGTGGCCCTCACACTAGCAGACTGAATCCAGCTCTCAACTCTTCCTCTGTAAGAAAAGTTTAGACAGAATGTAACAAGAGTTAATTTAAGCTGTTACAAGAGTAAATGATTGCTGGCACTAAGCCGAATGCTCTTGAGGGGATTGGAGTTCTAGCACAGAGTGAATCCTTGTTGGAACTTGGCCTAACACACTTAGAAGACACTGAGACATGCAAGTGGACCTTCAGGCATGAGACGTATGTTTACTTGGCACTTGCCATTTTTCACTTTTGACTTTGTAATGAAACTTWAATAAGTTTCTGCCAACCATGATTTCCTAARAATGACAGGACTCAAAACGGTTTTGTTTCATGGTCATACGTTTTTGTCTTTTGATGTGACCACATTACMTTCATTATGCCTAACAAGAAAACATTGCATTTAAGCATTGTTACATAACTATTCAGAGGGACACTGAATCTTAGAGAAAAAAATACATTTTAAACATTTCAGAAAATATTTTATTAGTATTTTCATTTGCTTTTTCAAAATTTCAGCAGTACAAACACSTCTAGTACTAAGTCTGAAGTCAACACAAAGAAAGCATTTTTTTTTAAAAGCAGGTATGTCATCTTGTCAAATTTAATGATTTCTGCTTACAAGAGCAAGGAAGAGCAAATTGAGCAGAATGGGAAAGAGAGGTAATATTTTAGTGGTGCAGGGCATAGTAGCTGATGATATTTGTCACCATATAACCCAGTTTGTCTAATGAGACTTATGTGATACTTACCAGACTGTCAGTGTCATTTCTATAGAACACAGAGTTCTTTCTGTTCTTCTCTCATAAACTACCCTGCAGTGATATTGCATGGGGTGAAACAGGACTATGTCTGACTAGCCAAGAGTTTCCTAGCTTTTCAGGCATGTTTTCCAGCACTCAAAACTGTACCAGCACTCAAAACTGTACCAGCACGGGGACAGCAACACAGCTTCAAGCAGCATTAGCACAGCAGTAGCTCTGTATTCCTGGACGCTGCACCCACGAGGTGAATTTACTGCAGAGAGAAGGGGTGGCTAAGGACACTTAACTTGCCCATCAGCATTGCGTGCTTGCAGCCATATGAGAATAGCTCTCCATTCCCACTGCAGTTGTATCTGTTCCAGGCAGGAATGTCATCTGAGGAAAGACAAATGACCTACTTATTTGTTTTTACTTAAAGAAAAACTGAAAATGGCTGTCAGAGTAATGAATTAAATCTCTGCCTGTGCTGTGGTCATGTGTGTTCAACATCAAGGAATCTGGCTTTCAGAAATTAAATCTTTCAGCCATCCTTTACAAGATGTTTCTAAGATGTTGCCAGCACTCATGAAGTGCTTGCTATTGGCTTACGCAGAAAGGTGTTTGTACAAATACTGTGTCAAACTATAAGACTGGGATGGAAAACATTTTTCTGTCTAGAGGGTAAGAGAAATAGGCAATAAGAATTTTCTGCAAGTTTTACAGAAGAAGTGGGATTTTGCAGTGTGTTTAACAATTGACAGATTTTGCTCCCATGTTTTACAGTATATTGGAATTTAAAAGGCTTTTCCCATATGAGTTATTTTCCAAGTCTCTAGGAATAGGAAAAGATTTTGCAATGTACATTAGCATATAGAGATGGAAACCATTCACTCTGCATGTTGCACCCCTGGGTGATTTTGCAATGAGCAGTCATTTGTGTTCCCCAGAGAAGGTGCTTCTGAAGGATTTGTATCCTGCAAAGGACTTGGGTCCTGAGATTCCTGAAGATGTCACAAACACTTCTCAGAATGACACTCAGTGAACAGTTCATGCTAAAGGAAGAGTGGATAAACTCTGAGATGCCATTAGTTAAATGACTGAAATTACYATCTATGAAACTGAATTCATGACTCTGAACTCAGGTCAGGGAAGGAGGATGAACTAAAATTACTTTGGTGGCACTGACGGATGATCACCTTTTGTCAGTGGATAGAGGGCAAAAAAGCATTTCCACGTTTCAGAACCTGTACCATAACATTTGTAATGTTGACAACACAGTACTGGCCATCATATCAAAAACAGGTGAAAGATACAGTTTGCTAGACTATATGCTTTCTGAAGGCCTTCAGCCAAAGACCAAAGTAACAGAAAATTGCATGCAGCTGTTCTCTCAGCAGTCTTTCTCCACATTCACATGGAGGCACTAAGTGAATTASTCTCATAGCATGGATACGGATACTGCCAACATACAAATAATATTTAACTTCGTATGATCTTACCATTAATTCCCAGACTGCCCATTTTGAATACAATCAACTAACTTGGTTGGTTTGAGTGTAACCAACAAAGACCTAGAGAGCTTTGTTAAAACTATGGCAATGAGGAAAAAARCACTCTGAAGCATTCRGTGAATAGTTGTCTTTTGGCACAARYRATTACTGACAACCAAGTAATTCTGTAATGCTTCTYAGTTAACACCTCTGCCATSATAATTTCTGTAAACTCATCTCCTGTCAACTGTATTTCATGAGAAACTCTACTCTGCCCTTGAAAAGGATATTCTAAACTTGCTCATGCTTCTGCTGTTTCTCATCTGGATCATACACTGAGGAACATATCCATACGTGCCTTCAATGCCTAGAAAATGATCAGCACTAGGTCAGCCCAGGACACCCAGCTCACCTGCCTTGCTCACTACCCCGGGCTTCTCGGAGCGCTTCGAACCCGGTTCGTGACCCACTGCTCCTCATGTACTCAGCAGTGGCTTTTTAAACCTCTGAGAGAAGAGCCACATCGGGGAACAAGGCAACCCCAGGAGCCGCTGCAAGCGTCGCCACTTTTCACTCCCTACCCACACAAGCCAGGCCTTCCGCGCCACCTCCCCTGACACAACCGAACGCCTGGCCCCTGCCCTGCCGCCCCCCGCACCTGGGGGGTCCCCGGCCCGGGACCTCCGCCTGCGTTACARAACCACAGAATCAATTAGGTTGGAAAAGACCTCTGGGAACATCGAGTCCAATTTGTGGCCCAGTACCGCCATGTCAACCAGGCCATAGCACTGAGTGCCATGTCCAGTCTTTCCTTAAACACCTTCAGGGACYGTGACTCCACCACCTCCGTGGGCAGCCTATTCCAATGCCTAATCATTCCTCATGCGAAGAAATTCCTCCTAACGTCCCACCTAAACCTCGCCTGACGCAGCTTGAGACTACGTCCTCTTGTGCAGTCGCTYGTTGCCTGGGAGAAGAGGCCGACCCCCACCTGGCTACACCCTCCTTTCAGGTTACCTCTCTGCCAACTCCGTGCCCTCCGGTTGTGCGGGAGGCGTCGCTCCCGCTGGCGGAGCGGAACCAGAGCGATCCCGGCGAGACCGAGCCGGAGCCGCCCCCGCCCCGCCCCGCGGCCTCGGGCCGGGMACTGCGCATGCGCGGCGCGGCCGCCGCGGAGCTTTCCGGGAAGATGTCGGCGGCGTGGAGAGTGGCCGTGGCGGCGGCCGCCCGARCCCCGCTGCGGGRGCGGCTCGTCGGGATGCGGCCCCCGCGCAGCCAGCGCCGCCTGTCCGCATGGGGGGCCGCCGCCGCTCTGGTCGGGGGAGGCTGTCTGGCGGCATGTTMCAGCGGGCAGCTGCGCGTGTTCCCCACGGTCCTGGCTCAGGTAAGGCAGCAGCATCCCCGCTCCGCCGGCGGGCAGGGCTGGGCGGGCGTGCTGGGAGCCGGGGCCCGGGGRCGGCTGTCGGCGGCCCTCGGACGGGTTGAGGTCCGCGGTAGTCAGACACCATCGTGAGGCGAGACTTGGCTTCTGGAGCCGCCCTGGCCCCGGTGGTCCAGCAGGTAATGCGCGTCCCCGGCCCCCTTGGCATCAGCAGCGTGTCACTTACACTGAGCCGCCTCGCCTCATCCACGGGGACTCCGCCGTTTTCCACAGCGGGAGAAGGCCGGGGTTGCCTCAGCGAGGAGCGTTTTCTCTGTCCCATTGACAGCCCTTGTCGTGCAGTCCGATGGACCCGTGTGGTTTGCACAGACACCGGGCCTGTACTGAGCTCCGCGTTTTGCTGGTAACTTTCAGGGGAAACTTTCACGATGGCCGGTCTGCACTCAGGTGTTGTTAGACGGTCATGCACGTTTTTGTCCCTTAAAAGAGAATATTTCACGAAAGTAGTAGTTTTGTAGTTCATACTTTTTTCTGCAGTGCATCACACAGAATGGTTTCCTCTTACTATGTCCAAAATGTGTGCTCTGGATGCTAAAATGTGGTTTGCCTTGGAGCATTAGTGCAYACTCAGATGTGTGTGCTCAAGGACAGATCGTTATTATTTACAAAATAGTTTTTGTACAGTTTTCAAACTTTATAATTTTCGTGGAGGTAGTGAGCTTTTTCTCATTCTTCCTTCAGATTAAAAGTTACTGTCCATTAGAGTTGGTTTGTTCTTTCAAAGCTGGAAGACCTAAGTGTTTTGTAGGCCATAGSGTTTAGGTGCGATGGGGGAAGAGGTCAGTCAGTCTATGCTTGCAGTGCCATTCATCTACTTAGGTCTAAGATTTTTTGGAAGTATTCAACAGTTTGTATGCTTTGATATCTTATCTCTTAACAGTGATTGAACAGGCTGAACAACAAGCAGGTAATAGCAACCTTTATTCTTGAAGACAACCTTTATTCTTGAGTCAAGAACAAAGAATGATTTTAAATTTTTTTTTTTAATATTGTAGTCTTCATTGTGGAGAATATCTGAGCTACATCTTAGAATACTCAATTTTTATTAGATAAGCATTTTTCTAAATAGATTGGCTAGTAGTCCTGGTTCCTTGGACAGCGCATGTTAAACTTTAATTTTTTTTATTCATGTCCTAGYGAGGAAAGCATCCATTACTCCACTAGATAGCTGACTGACGGCATATCTCCTTGTTGGTTTTATGTTTAATTATCTGAGGTTTTTCTGCAGAATTATCTTTTAAAAATCCTGTCATTGAGTCGAATTTCATACATGCAAGGAGCTCTTGCTTAAGTAGATGTGCATGTAGGTATATATAAAAAGTGTTAAATGTGGGAAGTAATCACTTTTAAAGGGTGTTAAGTGAAGGGTCTCACTCTGGTGCTGATGTGTTCTTGTGGAGTACCTTCCATGTAATGCATGGATAGTCCTACAGGTACACTTAATAATTCTCAAGAGGAAGTCTGAAAGTCTAGGGCTTATTTAACTGATTTGATTTTGGAGATGGTAAATATCTGGACTCTGCAAATGTTTGGTCATTCATTGAATTTGAACTTTCCAGTTTTCCAGTCAAATCATTGTTGGAGAAACTAGTTCTCCATATATATTGTACTCCATGTTGCTGCAGTTAATGTACTGAGCTTTTYTAAGCTGCCTGAGAAATAAACATGCAGAGCATAATGTTGCATGAGGATTGTGAAAGCTGTAAGGAATAGAGTGAAAGAGCCAAAGAGGCATGCTGCAAGTCTTCTAAGCGGTTTAGGTGCTACTTGTGGCTTCTGATTGTTAGAAAATAGTCCAAAGTGAAACAGAGCGTTGAAATAAGTATGTCACCTTTTTTCCAGTTCAGAGCTTATGGAATCCTGCTTTTCATGTTCTTGTAGTGGATAACCTTATTTTCTGTTATTATTCCTTTTCATTGTAACTAATCTTAACCAGCCTTGCTTGATCTTGTGCTGACAAACAATATTGAGCTGCTTGTTTCTGTTATAGTACGCTATGCATTGGATATGTTTGCAGCATGGTATGTGAAATATGACAGGTTAAGACAAGTATTTGAAATTAAACAGCATAATTTTCATTATCTTAGTAATAAAGAAATATGTAGTGGTAATGTTTATACTTCTGTCTCGTCAACAAGGCCTACTGGTTGCTCTTGAGAATGCAGTGAGATTATACTATAGTGCTTCCCTATTTTCCTTGTTAATATAGTCTTGACTGTTGATTTGCTTCAAAATAGCTCATAATTATTTAAAATATTTGACAAAGTGAAAATGTATATTTATACTGTAAAGAACCAATATAAGATTTTATGCTTTTCAGCAGCATTACAKTATGTTTAAGAAGTTCTGTCTTTAAGACCAATGTCATRTCTGTGTGTCACTCTGATGTAAGCATAATTMAGCAACTGAGTGATTTTCATTCTTCTCATGACTGAGATGTAACTATCGTTAGTAATTTCATTTCAGAGACAAAGATTTCATGTAAATACTTCCTGTTTGCTTAGGGTAGGTAGTTGAAGTCGATAACTTTAGATTTTCTGGTTTTGTCACTAAAACTARTCTCTGTCAAAGTAATCAGACATTTTTCAGCTTTTCCTTGTTCTAGGCAATCTCAGTCATACAATTTCTAGTGAAACTGGCAAACAGCATGCCAAAGGTCAAGTTCCATAAATCCAGGACTTACTCTGTTTTTTTTTTCTTCTAAAGCTTTTAGATATTCTAAAATCAAAGACTGATACCTTTGATACCTAGTTTCYTAAATCTGTTTTTAATTGCAATTATTTCTTCCTGTTTGAGTAGGTTTAATCCTACTCATATTGGTTAGTGGCTCTTCTGACTTCTGCTCAGAGTGAAYGAAATCCGGCCAATGTATGAGTCTTTGCAGAATCAAAGGTCCTGCAGGGCCAGATACTCTGTTTTCTTTTTGTAAGTTGTATGAATAGTGTTTTATTTTGCAGTGGCTTATGTTTGGTTACTGTGTTTTAATGTAATTGGTTATTCTGGCAAAAAAATTTCAGTCCAGCTTTTTTTTAAAACTTTGGCCCAGGTTTTCTGTCACCATTTTCACTGTCACCTATCTGTTCTTGCAGCGTACATTAAATGGTTACCATCTCAGTAACATATCTTGCTATATTTAATGTAATATTACCTCAGATGTAATATTTCATGRTTTATGAAGTTGTTTTCACTCTCTATCTTCATTTGCTGGTTTACTGTTTAGAGACATATAACTAATATCTATGGGAGTAAGCCCTTAGTGTTAATTGTAAAACTCTACAGAGATTATTACAGCAAAATGAGTATAATATTTTTGAAACTTTTTTTTATAGTTACCAGGTTTTAGTTCTATCTACACTTGTTATTTACCACTAAAGCTACACTGACAATACCCAAAACAGATGTAGCTTGTGCTGGGAAAAACTGTATCAATTTTGTTTTTTTAATAAAATSAGCTGATCAGATTGTATCAAGAGGAGAAAAAAGAAGGGAGGGGTAAGAGCTTTTGTTTTACAAGTGTAACTGGGAATGGGGATTTATTCACTAAATTCACTAAAAGTATATCTTCTATATATTTCTAATTCACTAAAAGTATATCTTCTGTTATACTAACCAACACAGCCAGGTAAAAAATGTTCTCACTGCACTGCACACTGCATTGATACTATACAGGCTGCTTTTCTTCTTTAGTAGTGAAATTCAAATGACACAATGACATATGGTTTGCTGTATTGTCTCCTGTGCCTTTATTCTCTCAGAGCATGCAGTTTGCAATACTAACATGGCCCACTGCTACTAAATTAGGAACTTCCCAACAGACTGCATGTTTGATCTTGGATACGCGCAAACTGCAAATGATAAGAAAATTCTGAGACGCAGCAAGCTGCCAGAGGCAGTATATCCTGCCTCTGCTGAGTTTTTTATGGCCCTGTTTAGGTCACTAGCTTCAGAAAGAATATAATTTGATTTGCCCTTGAAAAGTTGMCATCCTGCAGCATATCACAATTTGTGCTGATTCTAAGTCTTTGTTTTACAAATGAGAGTGACTGGAGTTCTTCCTAGCACATATATGAAGTTTTATGTGTGCAAGCTCTTGTCTGTTAATAAACATTGTATTTTGCCATGCTCTTTTTTAGGGCTATGGGAGCATTAGCTGGTATTTAACTATTTGATACTGCTTACCTGAGGTAAAGAGGACAACACAGCTTACTAACAGCATTTTTTGGGTCAATTCTAGTTAATASTTCCTGTTACATGATTTAGTCTAATTGGTTCTCTTTATCTTTTCTTTTCTACTACTGCTGTCTTGCATCAGCAATCTTCTTTGAGTATCCCAGATCAGAGGAGACTCAATTTGTGTCCTGGAGGTCCTAAATGCATGTTGTATTTGATCATATGAAAATATTAAGATAATGCTTATAACAATGAATAACAAACAATTTGTGATCATTTTTAAAATACTTTATGTGTCTGAAATTCTAATTTTATTTGAAATAGGTTTATTGAAACAATTCTGTTTCAGACCATTTTTCCCTTTAAACTGTGTTGAATGTTTCATCATTTTTGAGTGTTAAAGATCCTTAACAGAAGCAAAGRTGAGAGTGTGACTTTGCATGTCACACTACGTACACACTACATGGGAGTGGTGGCTTTGTATGAAAACTGTTATTCTGAGCTATTGCAAGTGAAAAACTTGGAACAATTAAAACTAAAGCTTAGATTCTTTTTCCAGGTCTATATGTGTACCCACCACAAACATTTTTTTAACTATTGCCTTACACTGTTTAAAGGAAGCAGAATACTGTAAAAGATTCCCCAAACACTAGTTTGTTCAGGGGACACTCCCTTGGTTCTGCCACTGTGGAAAGGCAAAATAGAATGTAAACAAATCCTAGGGCTATGGAGAACTCAGTACCACAGATCATAATCTAGGGAGAGTGCATCTA